ACTATTTCATTAAAGTTCGGATTTCCTATTGTTTTGTTGACTCAGCTGGCTCATAGGTACTTTTAGGAATCTTATTATTATTGTTATTATTATTTGTGTCTATAATAAAACTTCCAGATGGACCATTAGCTCAATTTTATTTTCCTGTTTGGTATTGCAGGTGAAGAGCTACAAATTTGCCATATTGATGCAAGTATGGATCATGGTGCTCGGCAAACTATCCTATCCGAAGGGTTTGGTATTGAATGCCATTGTCCTAGGTGCTTATCTATGCACATAGAAACTTAATCTAAATTAGATACTAATCCATAATTTTGCCTTGAGTTCTGATCTAATTGAGGAAAACTGGGACATATCTAGTCCGTCGAAGTTTATTTCAAAGCCCTGTGAAATTTTTTACACATTTGATGATCTTTAGGCTTTATGTTTGAAGACTTCTACAAGCATCAAGTTATTCCAAAGTTTATTGTGAAAAATAAGTTGAGAAGACTTCAATGTAAATAATTTATTAGCAATCCATTTCGGAAGCTTCTGTAAATGATCTCTGCAGAAGTCATCTGTTATTCTTTTCCATTCAATCCATTTTTTTTTCAAATTATTTTATATGACTTAGATATGTTGGTATTTCACCGACTCTTAGATTCAATTCCGAATCAATTGAAGAATTGAGGTCATTGATGGGTCAAATGCTGACACTTTGATGCTTAAGGTAAGATTGGATCAATTCTTCGATTTCAAGCACATTGTATTTGTCATTTTCATATTCGTTTTTCATTGCATAAGAATGGAGCAGTTTGTTGCAGTCATTAGGTGATTGGTTGATTTCCATTTCAAGTGACTCATGCTTCAAAGGAAATATTATTTCCTGAAAATTTACATTACACTTGTCTAATTTTGTTATTTTTTCTTTTACATAGTGAGAATAGCATTTAGGTCTCATTCAAAGGATATCTGCATGCCACCTCACTCACTATCGGGCAAGGAAAAGGCTAAGAGAAATAGCCAGTAATATTTACTTGCCAATGTTCTTCTCTTAAGTGATTGTAGATTCTTGCTTTACCGTATTTTGAAATATAAATTTTAAGGTTTTCTTATGCTGTTAAGATTTTATTTATGAATATTTGAGCAACAAGGTATTTCCTATTTCGTAAACAATGAAATAAAGGGCAAATGAATAAATATGAAGCAAATATTTCATTTTATAGATGGCAGAGATCAATACATAAGGAGAGTGAGGACACAGCTACCATGTTAGACAAAAACATTGATCATGAAAAGGACTTCAACAGAAAATGACATCAATAAATAAAACATAGCAAAAAAAAAAAAAATTGCTTCCCAAAAGCGAATATGGTAAGTGAGGGCACACAGAAACAGTTTGAAACGGAGGGATATTGTTCTAAGGTGGAATAGAACGATATGCTCTTCGAAATACTTGAAAATCATCATTAAGATTATCGATTGTCGCTTGCATTTCGTCAAGCTGAGCTTGTTGACCGTCAAGTTGATCTTGTTGTTTTTCAAGAGTGGCTTGATTTTGACGAGTGCCTTTGAGAATTTCTAACAAAAGATCATAATTGGTGCAATTCGGAGTTGGAACTTCCTCATCTTCAGTACTGTCATCACTTTCTGGTTCTTCTTCATCCCCATCATCAACATCCTTAATCTCTTCTCCTTTAGCTCTAGCCTCTTCGAACTTTCGTTGCCTAGGATAAAACCACTCACCGTTTAAGTCCCTTTTTAGCCCCATTTGGTCAAGATTGAGAGCATCGAGTATATCTCTTGGGCCTTGTTTGGTTGATTCACTTTTGTCAAGTGGAACATGTTTATCCATGAAGATGTGAGTGAGAACCATAGCATAGTGGAGGGGACTCTTTTCCTTTTTCTTGCATGCCAACATGTGATGAAAAATGATGTATGCCAAATCAAATACTTTTCCATTCAACACGCACCAAATCAAAAAGATTTCCATGTGAGAGACTCTTGAGCGACTGCCGGTTTTAAGAAGAATGGAGTATGCAATGATTTTGTGGATCAAGCGAGCTTCCATAGTTAATTGTTTGGATTTGACCTCTTTGGTATTGGTGGTGCGGGAATCATAGCCCATTTGACGAATTGCTGCTAGTTTGTCAAAACCTTTCCCATTGTACCATCTTTGTGGTGAGTAGAATTGAATACCATCATTAAGATGAAGAATTCTGGCAATGCTGCTAACATCAAGATGGAATACTATTCCTGCCACATAGCATTGAAGTTCTCTACACCGGGCATTTTCTCAAGGTGGGTGTAGAATAATTGCACAAGTCTAGGATAATACTTGTTGTTCATCCCAACAAATGCACCAAGGCCAATAGCATCGAAGAGTTTATAGGTGTTGAGGTTGAGGTCGTCACAAATTGTGTGTGACAAAACTTTTCCTTTGGCCACTTTCCTAAGATTGAAATTTTTTTCATATAACTTCTTGTATGTAGGAGTTCGATACAACATTGTTACAGAGATTTGAATGGGAGGATTTTCTTCACTAGGGCTGGATTCATGATCATGGGTACGTCTAGTATTCCTATTTTGGCCATGAGGAGGATTTTTTCTACGTGAAGAGGAAGCCATAGAATAGATATTTTGAATGCTCAAGAACCGTTCAATGGAAATAAAATTTAAAATTCCAAGAATTTGTGCAAATAAAAACTAATTTAATTTGCACATCCAGTCAAGTTATGAGTGCTAAGAAACTTCATTCTAGAGACCCCAGAACAGTTAATGAGCATCAAGGTCAAGGTTTTGGAATTGATAAAATCAGCCTTAAAATGACAACCCAAGATGGAACTTGAATGGAATCATAGTAAAATTTGCAATTTAGAGCATAGATTCACAAAGCCAACCTAATTTGTGTTCAAATCACTATATGATATTTCTAGGGTTTTGAGGGTTTGATAGAGATGAGATTGATAAAGATACAAAGAGATATTCAAGCTTGAATAATGATGACAATGAACATCAAGAAAGCATGAATTTAAGAGAATGAGCAATGAAATCTTACCAAAGATGATGAATTTAATATTTGTGAAGAAGAGAGAGAAATGGCAAATTTAGATGAAATAAGCATGATGAAGGAGCAAAAGAAACAAATTAAGAGTAGGAATATATATAAATTGAAGAGGGAATTTCATGGATTTAACATACCAGTGAAGGAACCCATCATATGGAAGAATTCGCCCAAAGCAAGATGAAGTCTCCTAAGTCAATTTGCTCTCTGGAATGTTTCAGTAATGAGCCCAAATTAGGAAGTGCCGAGATATAATGGGAATAGGACACTTGAGTGGAGCCGGCTCAACCATGATCATGGAGCCGGCTCTTATGGGTTTTTGAGAGATGCTGAGTGAAATAGGAAGGAAACAGATGAGTGGAGCCGGCTTAACCTTGATCATGGAGCCGGCTCTTAATTATTTTTGGAGCCGCCTCAATTAGTTGCTGGAGCCGGCTCTTTTGGGCATTTGAGAAATCCCGAGAGTTGGTGTATGCAGGCCAATAAAGGAGCCGGCTCAACCTATTTCTAGAGGTGGCTCTTCCTGGAGATGCCGAAAGCATGGATTTAGGAAATTCAAGGAGCCGGCTCTTCCTTTTTGTGGAGCCGGCTCTATTGTCTGCAGTGGAAGATCCCGAGAGTATAGACATTGAGAATTTTGGATGCAGGTTTGGGGAGCTGGCTCTTGTGTAAGTGGAGCCTACTCTCATTCCCTATAGAGGCGGCTCTTATTTTGATAGAGCCGACTCTACTGCTGCTACTTCACTGTATGGCATTCTGTTTTGTGATCATTCCAATTTCCCTTCTAAGTGGACAAAATCTATCCTCTTGGAGTGGTTTTGTAAAAATATCAGCCAATTTTTTTTCTGTATTAATAAATGTAAGTTTAATGTAACATGATCCCTAAGAAAATGGTACCTAATTTAAGGGCAGTAGAAGATTTATTAAATTTTGCTAACAATAACATAATGGAGTAAGTCAATCTGAAATTTAAGTATAGCATCAATATATTGAATTGATTTTTCATAATTGGGGTTGACGACCTTAAGTATAGCATCAATATATTGAATCTGAAATTTAAGTATAACATCAATATATTGAATCTGAAATTTAAGTAAAGCATTAGTAGTATATGCTGTAATTCGAAGCATAGTTTCCTATTTTGCTCTGCTTTGATAATCCACTAACACAACTCCAATTTCAAAGAAAAATGAATGCTACGGAACCAACAAAAGAAACCTCAATAAACACAAACATCACCTGCTAAATAGACCAAGAGACCAAAAGTATAATCATTATAAAATTCCATAACCAAAAGAGTAGATAATAATAATTACATCATAGTCAAGTTCCTAGATTTACATCATTGTAAAAGGGTTCCAATACATACTTTTTCCATAATATAGCATCACAAAGTTTCACCAACAAAAAAGGAATTCATAGCATTCCCAGAAGTGTTTCTCAAAAAAGGAACCCATACCCAACAAAAAGAAAGACTACCCATCATCAATCAGCATCATGTTGAATCATACATCATTTTCTCCAAAATATTCTTACGCTTTGCAACTGGAACAACAAGGAATATCCTCGTTTGATCAGGATGGTTAGCGAGATAAAAGTAAGCATCATCAATTAAAAATGGCTCAAGTCCAATTGATTCCAGCTCATTATAGATTTCCTCCTCCGAATGCACCTTACAATTATGTTTTCCATAAAGAGCATTTCCCTCTTTAATAGATTCTGCAACAGACGAAATTGCATTTGCTATGTCTTGTGTATCATTAGAGACACCACGTGAAGACCGTTTCCTCTTTCCTTTTGCACTTAAAGATGCAATAGAAGTTGCCTTAGGGGACATTATCCTTTCAATCTCATCAGCCACACGCTCAACATTTTCCAAAGTCACCTCATTTTCTCCTACTAGCTGATCAATACCATCAATACTTCCCATTAATTTGTCATTAGTTGAGCTAGCCCATTAAAAACGTTTCTCCTTAGCAGTTGTAGCCTCATCACCCATCGCTCTATCTTTTGCAAGCAACTTATCATAGTTGTTAATAGGTGTAGTTCTCCATTTCTCCGCTTGCAGTTTTGCCTATTACAAGCATATAAAAATATATATATATGTTAAACATTTCATAGTGTTTAAAGTAAAAATAACTCCAAAATTGAAAGTACATGAAAGAAGAAATTAAAACTATCATAGATTAAACATACTTTGGGTAAAGCAACGACACTAGAACAACATAGAAAAAATATTTCAAGAGTTTCCATATGAATTAGGCCTTAAACATACTTTTATAGTAAAAATAACTCCAAATTAATAAATAAAAAAAAATAGTACCTCAATCAATGAATTCCGAACCTCTGGTTTCGCACTCCACATCTTTGTCTCACGACTCCAAGCAAATCCGCTCAATCCATTCTTAAACAGGTCATACCACTCATTGAAATGAGTCTTTATAGTCTTCAATCGATTCTTAATCCTATCTTTTGTAAAATCCATTTCAAGTTTTGCACACAATTCTTTAACCATTTCATCATATGCTTTACTAGTAAAAGTTCCATCAACCCTATTCCCTTTAATATGTTGGTAATACAGCACATCAATGAATGCATCTTCCATTTGTTGCGTCCAAACAAACCTATCTTTCTTGCTTCCTTCATTTTTGTTTGTTGTGTTACTCATTTTCTTATCTACATAACAAATTAGCAAATGAGTAGAATCCAATGTAAATTTTCAAAATAGAGTGTGACCAACAAAAAAAAAAAAAAAAAAAATTAATAACATCATGACAAACAAATTAACATGAGTAATATAAGATATCGACTATGCTTTTTCTTCTTTAACAATATATCATCAAATAAAACTTGAGCTACCAATAAAGTCTTAGTAAAGACCAAGTACTTGTCATAAAAGAAAATAAATAAAACTAAGGTTTTAAGCATTTATCAAACAAGCAAAAGATTTAGACTTATAACACACGTAACATTAGTCACAGTTGATTTGCTACATAGTCATTCCACATGTTCATTGCAATGGTGTCCCTTATATGTTCTCCTTCAGCAATATCCCTTGGAGTTTGATCATCATCTGCATCTTCATCTTCATCTTCATCTTCAACTTGAACTTCAACTTGGTTTAAGAGCTCCCGATCTACTTCATCAATATGTCTTTCATCAGGATCAACGCCCATTAAATAATTATGCAGAATGCAACATGCAAGGATAATCTCTGTTTGTGTTTCGATCGAGTAAGTGGGCTCAATTGTGCTTCCTATAATTGGAAATCATTTCTTTAATACACCAAATGCTCTCTCAATCGCATTACGTAACGACGCATGTCGTAAGTGAAACAATTCCCGAGGATTTTCAGGTCGATGTGAAGCAAATTCTTTCAAATGATATCAAACACCTCTACAAGGCGTGACAAGTCCACCTCGTAGCATATACCCACCATCAACAAGATAATATTTACCTATTAAGAATAAAAGTTGTTATCTTTGAATAACTATAAATCAGAAAATAATATTTTATAAATTTTATATAGAAATTACCTTTAGAGATTCTCAACTTATCCTTTCTTTCAAATGCACTCTTAATTACTCTCGAGTCTGATGCAGTCCCTTCCCATCCAGGCAAGACATATGTGAATCTCAAGTCAAATGAACAAGCAGCCAACACATTTGTGGTTGGAAAATTCTTTCGACCACGATATCTTGGAGCGTCTTCAGTAGGTACTCTCACACGAACATGTGTTCCATCTACACAATTCTGATATAAATTTATTTTATAAATTTTTTATATCAACATATGTATAAAAATTTTAAAATAAAATTATCTATTTACCTTGAAGTATGGATAGAACCTACTATTGCTAAGTATCTCCGGAGGGACTTCTAAACCATCAGGCTGTCGGAGAAAATTTTCTTCTAACGAGATTATTGACCTTAACACACTATGGAAATTACAACTTGTAGTCTCACCGGAGCGACGAAAAAAAAACTGAATCGTGCGATTCCTCACATTGTGTGATAATATATGAAGAAATTTTGCAACTTATTCTTCAACTGATGCATTTTTTGTTGCCTTAAGACCAGTTCCCTTTTAAGAATCTCACATAAATTTTGGAAAGCCTCTGGTCTCATTCGAGTTATATCACGACATCTTTGATTTGTCCTAAATTGGTTCATAAGTTCATTTCGGACCATTTCTCTTTCAAAACTTGATTGTCCAGTGAGTCGATTAACATAGTTTCTCCTTTGAAACTTTTTCCGTAAAAGCCAATACACAACCAAACAAATAACTTGAGTTGCAACCAAACACCTTCTTTGTTCCCACAAAAACCATTCATATGTTGCCATATTATTTCGCCTCTCCATTTACCATTTCAAAACTTATTGTCACCCTCACAATTCAATATGTGTAGATTAATAAAATAAGAGTATAAGACACACTCAACATATATATGATGTTCTGATAATATATATATATATATATATATATATATATATATATATATATATATCTAAGAATGCCCACCCAAACATAACCTATGATAATTATGTGACACTTATGATCAGACATAAACCAATTGATTATGTTGGTATTGCAACAAAAACCTAGTTGCCATATTTCAAATAATGACCATAATAAGACATAATTGGGACTGTATCAATGACATTCTCATTATGGCATGCAGGATTCATAATATTTCATGTCCATAATAGCCCATTACAACTTGATAACAGCCTCACTAGGGCATGAAATAAAAACAGAATATGCATTTTTTTTCTTCTCAAGTTTCCTAGTTGTTTTTAAACCTTTTTTTCTTAAATCCCTCATGAAATATGAACAAAACTTTGCAATGACTAAATTTCTCCTTTTTTTTTCTTTTTTCCTTTTTTTCTTAATAAGCAAAAGAATTTTTGCTGCAAAGAAAGCAACCCTTAATATCTAGATGATACCTCATTGGCTATAAAATTGGGCAGAAGTGTTATTTTTTAAAATTAAATTACTGGGTTTTTTTTTTTAATAAGTAAAATATATTCAAAAGGCGCTGGGACTGCGTATTAGTGGGGTTATTACAGTTTGCCATGTGAGTTCTCCCCCCCTACAGCAGTGGATTATCAAGTGTGTGTTTTTTTTTTCTTTTCTAAATTCACATTAACTATAACAAAAAGATAAAAGAGAGAAACCCACAAAATTACAGAGTTCACAAGAAAACCATCGACATAATTAAAGATAATCGCACGAATTTTTTCCGTAGAATATAACATTAAATCTCCAACTGTATACTGACAAATCTTAAGGAAAAAAAATAATAATAAAAGAGGAAAACTTAGATGGATTGAAGAAACACACCTGAAGATCGAATACTTCAAGAAGATGATGAATTCAGATGAATTTTCGAAAGGCTTGCGTAGCTCCAAAGGCGCTGTTTGTAAACCAATGAATTTAACTGTTACAAACCTTTCCCTTCTCTCTCTATCATTAACTTCCTCCTCCGGCACAGAGACCATGCAGTGAACCCACTTCCCCTTCTCTCTCTCCCATACGTGAACCCACTTCCCCCTTTTCTCTCTCCTATTTCTTCTTATACCAGTGAATTTTGGCGCCTTTGTTCCCGCGCTGAATACATGTCTTTCTTTGTTCCCGCGCTGAATACAGGCCCTAATATCAAGAGTAAATTTGAGGGTAAAATTGGCCTAACAAATATTTTTTATGCCATTGCCTGCCATTGCCTTCCATTTCCTTCCTTATCTTCCCATTTTTGGAAGGTTAAAAAATTACTATACATTGTTTATAAATAACCCTCCAAACCCTTCCCTCTCCTTCCCTTTCGCTCCACTAACTTTACCCAAACACAATTTTTTTATAATCCTCCATCACCTTCCCTTCCCTTTCCCTTCAAACCCACTCTACCAAACTGACCCTTGGGCTATGTTTGGTGGGGTGGGTTTGAAGGGGGAGGATAACATTAGTTATGAGGGAAAGGGAAGGGAAGGGAAGGGAAGGATAAGTTTAATCCTCAATCGTGTTTGGTTGATTAATGAAGGAAAAGAAAGGGAAGGATAACAATCATGTTTGAGAAAAGAAAGGAAAGGGAAGGATAATAATAAATTTACTATTATGCCCTTTTTATATTTTAAAAGATGAATTTTGAGATTTAAATATGCAACAACATTTTTGCCCCAAGAGGAACCGGCTTAAGTAAAAGTGGAGGAGGCTCCAATATGAATGGAGCAGGCTCTACTTTAAGTAGAGGAGGCTCCAATATGAGTAGAGCAGGCTCCCAAAAATGGGAGGTGGCTCATTTCAAGAAAATTTGTTCTGGGAACCAATTTTAGCTACTGGAATGAAGATCAAGTGTGTGTTTTTTTTTCCTTTCACTTTCCATCGCTGTTCCAGTTCGAGTTCGCCGTCGCCGTCCGCCTCAAAAAATCAAAACCCACATCTTTCAGTTTCCATCGCTGTTCCAATTCGGGTTCGCCGTCCGCCTCAAAAAATCAAAACCCACATCTTTCAGTTTCCATCGTTGTTCTAGTTCGAGTTCGCCATCTGCCATTCGCCGTCCGCCGTTCGCAAGCTTCCCGCGCTGAATACATGCCCAATATTAAGTGCAATTTTGAGGGTAAAAGTGGCATGACAAATATTATATGAGCCATTGCCTTCCCTTTCCTTCCTTATCCTCCCATTTTTGGAAGGTTAAAGAAATTACCGTACATTGTTACGAAGAACCCCTCCAAACCCTTCCCTCTCCTTCCCTTTCCCTCTACTCACCTTACCCAAACACAATTTTTTTATAACCCTCCGTCACCTTCCCTTCCCTTTCCCTTTCCCTTTCCCTTTCCCTTCAAACCCACTATACCAAACTGAGCCTTAGGGTTTTGTTTGCAACAGTTAGGTCTAAAGTCTATTTTTATTATGTGTACATATAGTTAGGCTTTGTTTAGTACTGTGGGTTTGAAGAGGAAGGATAACATTAGTTATGAGGGAAAGGGAAGGGAAGGATAATTTTAAACCTCCGTTGCGTTTAGTTGATTAATGAAGGAAAAGAAAGGGAAGGACAATAATTATGTTTGGGAAAAGAAAGGAGAAGAAAGGGAAGGGAATTATTTTAACATATGGACTATTATACCCCTTATATTATATATATATATATATATATATATATATATATATATATAGTTTCATGTACTTGCCAAAAAAATAATAATAATAATAAATAAATAAATAAATAAAAATTAGGGCAAATCATTTTAGCCTCCTTAACCCTCCATCTCTATTATATATATATATATATAGTCTTTAACTTGAGGCCATAAGAAAAGAAAAATAAAAAAATAGGGCAAAGCCTCCCCAATCTCGCTCCATCTCTACAACTCCTTCTTAACACTGAACTTGGCCTCTCTTTCTCTCTCTCTCTCTCTCTCTCTACAAGAATCAAAAATTCAAAACCCATATATTTCCAGTTTATCTATCTGTTTGCAAGAATCAAAAGTTCAAACCCGTATCGCTGTATCATTTCAGATTGTTCAAAAAATCCAAAACCCATATCTTTCAGTTTCCATGGCTGCTGTTCCAGTTCGGGTCGCCGTTCCAAGCTTCAATCACCGGCGGTCTCTCTCTCTCTCTGCAATCTTGAGGGTAAAATTGGCATCTGAAACACCCATCAAGCCTCTCCTTCCCTTTCCCTTCTTTTCCTCCTATTTTTGGGAGGTTAAGAAATCTACTGTTGAAGGCACAAGCTAACCCTCCAAACCCTTCCCTTCACTTCCCTTTCCTTCCAACAATTTTTGGCAAACACACATTTTTAATCCCCCTCCATCACCTTCCCTTCCCTTTCCTCCCATTTCTACTCTACCAAACTGACCCTTGGGTGTGTTTGGATAGTATTAGTTATGAGAAAAAAGAAAAGAAAAGATAGTTTAGTGAGAAAAGAAAAGAAAAGAAATGATAGTAATAATTTCTATTTGTGTTTGGATAGACAGGGGAAAAGATAAAAGAAAGAATAGTTATTCTTGTTTGGATAAGATAGATGAGAGAAAAGAAAAGAAAGGATAATAGACAAATTATTTTTTTACCCTTTCATAACCATAGGACTTGAATAGAATAATAAATCTGTGTATTGATTTGTGGAAGCTAATTTTGATATTATCAAAATACCACTAAAATTACTATCCTTTCTCTTTCTATCTTCTCAAAATTAAATAGAAAGCAAATGAAAGATAGGGAGGGAAAGCTTTCCCTCCGCATCCCTCTACTTAATTTACCCAAACAAACACTTACACTGTCCTCTCTTTTCTTTTCTCTCCCAATCCCTCCGAATCAACCCTACCAAACACACCGGGTTTTGGAAAATTTCTGATCTACCAGACGATGGAGGTCTCAAATCAGTCAAAACATATGAAGAAGAACCAAACTCCAGAGGGCAAGTTTCGCCACATACTCGATCTCTGCTCCAAGAACAAAGATCTCTCTGGAGCGATTTCTCTATACGAATCCTCGATTTCGCAGAAGATTCGCCTGAGTCACCACCACTTCAATGCCCTCCTCTACATCTGCTCCAATTCTGTGACAGACTCTTCGTCCAAGAACTTGGCGTTCGATTATGGCTTTCGCATATTCAATCACATGTTGTCGGACAATATCAGCCTCACGGAGGCCACCATAACGGCGGTTGCAAGGATCGCCGCCGCGGGAGGCGACGGCGATTTGGCATTTGATTTGGTGAAAACTATGGGGACGAAGTACACGCTTTTGCCGAGACTGCGATCGTACGATCCAGCATTGTTCTGTTTCTGTAAGAATTCGGATGCTGATAAGGCATATTCCGTTGAGGAACACATGCTCTCGAATGGTTTGCAACCGGAGGAACCAGAACTGGCGGCGCTGCTGAAGGTGAGTGTTGAAAACCGGAGGGAACAGAAGGTTTATGCCTATCTACATAAGCTAAGAGGGTCTGTGAGGTGTGTTAGTGAGTCGACAATGGAGATTATTGAGGAGTGGTTTGTAGGTACAGCGGCTTCTGAGGTGGGAATGTTGAATGGGGATGAGGACCGAGTTAAAGAAGCAATTTTAAGTAATGGAGGCGGTTGGCATGGCCTCGGGTGGCTTGGGAAGGGTGAATGGGTTTTGCGTAGAACAAAAGTTGATTTGGATGGTCGGTGTTCCTCTTGTGCTGAGCAATTGGTTTGTGTTGATATCAATAGAGGAGAGACAGAGAAATTTGCGCAGTCTGTGGCGTCCTTGGCTATGGAAAGGGAAGTCCAGTCAAATTTCAGGGATTTTCAGGTTGGTCAATATAAGTTACTTCCTTCCTTTTTGTAATGGGTCACTTCGAATGTATTTTAGGTTTGGTTTGTAGAAAATTTAATTCTCCTAGCACTCTTGGTGATCCTCTAATTATTTTCCCCCTATTTTTATTTTTTAATTTTCATTAAGGACTTGCTGGACAAACATGCTGAATATGAAGCTGTAGTGGATGGAGCTAATATTGGGCTCTATCAACAGAATTTTGCAGATGGTGGATTTAGTGTTTCTCAGGTTGTGAATCTTGAGTTACTAATTTGATGCCTATCCTCTTCTGTTTGCTTATACTTGTAGAATTTTCTATGGACTCATTATGTCTATGTACTCAAAATTTCAATAGAGCAGCTTGAAGCTGTTGTGAAAGAACTGTATGAGAGGAACAACAAATGGCCTCTTGTTATCTTGCATAATAAACGTATTCGGTCACTTCTTGAAAGTGCTTCTAATCGAGAGTTGCTTGAGGAGTGGATGGTTCAAGGAGTGCTGTATGGAACTCCATATGGATCCAATGATGATTGGTACACTTCTAAACTTTGCAAATTGTCACTCCCTTTCTCTCTTGTTCTTTTGGTTGATTTTTATGGTTCATGTATCTAATCAAAATAAATGATATCTTTTGCTTATTTAAATGATATCTCCTTTGTGAATTTGCTGATGATAGTTTTTTCCATGTTTCAGGTACTGGCTTTATGCTGCTGTAAAACTTAAGTGTTTCCTTGTGACGAATGATGAAATGCGAGATCACATTTTTGAACTCGTAGGTAGCAGCTTTTTTCTTAAGTGGAAAGAAAGACATCAAGTATGTATTTGTTTTTTTGAACCCTACTAACACAATAGCTCTATTCTTCTTCTATGCTGTGTTTTAATAGATACTTCTATTTTAATTTTTTGTTTTTTTGTTCTTATTTCTTTTATAAATGATGCGCACTATTTTGGCATGTTGTTAGGATTTATTGGTCTGTATCTTATCTATTTGCTTTTTGAGTAATGATATTTGCATCGAAGAGTTAGGCAAAATTGCTAGACCTACTATATCTAATTGGTCATTAATGCATGAGATAAGGAAATGGAGTGTCCCACTTTCTTATATTTGGCATGCATTGACCAATCATATTTTTTAAAATATGCAATGCAAAAATCTCTGTTTAATTAGCAACGAAGTATGCATTTACTTTCTATCAAAAAAAAGATGTATTTACATATATGTTATATGGGCTCAAATATAAGTGTCAGCTTGGGCCATCTAACCAGAGTCACCAGACTTGGTGTTTCAGCAAATCTGGAGGGATTTGATTTTGGGGTTTTCCGGTTATAATACATATAAATTAAGTTCTTGGGTTTCTCATGAATTTGGGAATTTTTGTGAAGAATATTGGTATGAGATCTATTGGAATTTTAAGGCTCCAAACAAGTTTGCCTTGGAGTTGGTGGTGGCAAATGCAGTTACGATGATGGGTATCTGTAATGGTGATTTTGGGGTTTTGGCAGTAGTGGTATGGCATTCGAGGGTTATTTCATTGGTAGGGTATTTTGATAGATGGAGATGAAGGTAGTTCCACAATGGTATTGTTTTACAGGGCAACGGTGTTGGGTGGTGGAGGCTTTTCCAAGGCTGAAGATAGATAGGAATAAGTGAGGTTCTGTAATTTTGTGATGATGTTGTTGGTTTAATTCTCTTGAACAAACAACATGATGCATGTGAGGCATATGGATGGGGTCTACTATGGTTAAATCAAAATTCACTGGAGGTTAATGTAATCGACAATCTTGATCGTCATCATGTATTTGTTCGATTCTCTTTCTTGATGTTGTTGAAGTGATTGACACATGCCTTTTTTGTTCCTAGGGTCTCTCCTCATCATGCATGTGAGGCATGAGTAGTCCGAACACATCATCATCATCATCATCATCCTTGCCTTTATCCCTTATGGATGCGGTTAGCCACATGAATTCTTTTATTTATTTATTTATTTTGGAGTGGAAATTTATTCGGAAAGGCTGTGATGTTTTTTCCTCTCATATTAGATTCAAAGTTCGGGATGGCAGATACTTAAAAAAAAAAAAAAAGTTCGGGATGGTAGATGTGTGCTATTTTGGGAGGATTTATGGTGCAGAGACCAGTTGTTGTCTTGCTCTTTTCCCGGACTTTTTACAATAGCTACTGATAGACATGCCTTTGTGGTAGATTGCTATCGGCTTGATAGTAGTGGGATTACGTGGGATGTGCGCTTTAGGCGCTCTTTTTAGGATTGGGAGATGGATGAGGCTTGCGCTCTCTTGGATATGTTGTATCGACAGGAGGTAGGTGGCATTGGTGATGATGTTCTCGTGTGGGTTCCTTCTTCCCATGGAGGATTCGAGGTCCGCTCCATGTTTCTGTGTCTTTCCAACTTTGTTGGTTGCGTTTTCCCTTGGAAGACTATTTGGCGCTCTAAGGATCCTCTTAGGGTGGCATTTTTTGTGTGGACTGCAGTTTGGGGTAAGATCTTGACGTTAGCCTGAGGAAGAGAGGCATTATTATTATTAATCGGTGCTGCCTATGCAAAAGTGGTGGTGAGCCTACGGACCATTTATTCTTACATTGCCCTTTGGCGTTCAATTGTTGGAATCTTATTTTCGGATTGTTCGGCATGTCTTGGGTGATGCCCCGATCCACAAGGGGTATGATTGGTGTGTGTGTGTGGGGGGGGGAGGGGGGGGGGGGGGGGTCAAGCTCGTGAATGTTGGCGGACTGTTACACATTGTGTATGGTGGTGCATATGGAAAGAAAGGAATAATAGATGTTTTGAGGGAGTAGAGGCGTCTACGGCAACCTTGAAATTTCATATCATTCGTTCCATTTTCAGTTGGGCGAAGGGGAGAAACTGCTCTTCTTCTGATGATGTTATTGATCTCTTGGACTCCTTGGGTCCATAGATTCCTGGTTTGTTTTTGTACATAGGACGCATTCCCTTTTTGAACGCTTTCTATGAATTTTTACTTATCAAAAAAAAAAAAATTATTTATTTATTTTTTTCCATTATTTCCTATTATACACTATGTTTTCTGTTAGATTTAATTTTTTAAACTAGTTTTAAATTACTTCATCCCATGTAAGTTTTGGTCGGCCTTTTTGTTGTTTTCCTAGAAGGAAAACAACTCTTCCTCTTTTAATTAGTGCATTATCGGATCTACGTTGAATATGACCATACCATCTAATTGTACTTTCTCTAATTTTATCATTTATAGGCACTATACCTAATGTTCTCTTCACACGTTCATTATTTATGTCATCTCTTCTAGTTACTCTTATCATCCAATGCAGTATCCTCATTTTTGCAACATGAACACATTGTATTTGTTTCTTTTTCGAAGCCCAACTGTCTACTCCATACAACATTGATGGCCTAAAGGATATTCTTTTGTCACAAAGGATAGCACTAGCTTCCCTCCCTTTTGTCCACCCTGCTCTAATCCTACTTAACTACATCACCATCTAACTCCCCATCTTTTTGTAGTATTGATTTTAGGTATCAAAACTAATTCATTTGAGTAATTATTTGGTCTTGAATTGTAATATTTATGTTGTCATCGTTTGCTAGTTACTACTTTATCAATTTTATATTCCATATATTTTGTTTTAGTTTTACTAATTTTTAGTCTTCTTGATTCTAATGCTTTTTTCCATGTTTCTAATTTTGTTTCTAAGGCTTCTTTAGAAGTATCTACTAATACTATGTCATCTGCAAATAGCATATACTGTGGGATGTTTTCTTGAATGTCTTTTGTTATTTCATCTAATACTATTGCAAATAGGCATGGACTCTAACATCGATCCTTGGTGTAGTCCGACTTTTATAGGAAATATGTTAGTTTTCCTAAATGTAGTGGTAACTTTAGTCAATGTCTCACTATACATATAAGTTTTATCTGTACTTGTTTCTTTGTTGAACCCACCAAATTATTTTTCTTGCCACTCTATCATATGCCTTCTTTAAGTCTATGAAACCATATGCAAGTCTTCTTGTTTACTCCGATATTCGCCTATTAGTTGTCTTATTAAGTATATGGCTTCATAGTGAATCTAGTTGGCATAAATCAGAATTGGTTATTAGATATTGATGTTTCTTTCCTTAGTCTTTGCTCAATTATCATTTATTGTAATTTCATTGTATGACTCATTAATTTAATTCCTCAATAATTTTCACAACTTTGTATATCTCCTTTATTTTTATAAATTGGTACTATTGTGCTTTTCCTTCACTCACTTAGCAACCTTTTTTCTCTTAGAATTTTGTTAAACAACTTTGTTAACCATTCAATGCATATCTTTCCTAAAGTTCTCCAAACTTCTATAGGTGTGTTATCTGGTCCAATGGCCTTATTTTTTTGATAATTTTTTCTTTTTCTTTTTAAGTTAATTTTTTTTTTTTGCAATTCACTTTTTTTTGGATAAATTGGCCCAATGGCCTTACCCATTTTCTCAATTGTGTCCTCTACTTCCTTATTATGAATTTCATTTACCATCCCTATGTAAGGGTCATTACTTGCGACTTCTTCTCTAGTATACTTGTTTAGTAATTGTTGAAAGTAATTTTTCCTTGTCTCTAATATATCTTTATCTTTAACAAATAATCAAATATTATTTTATCAATGTCCTTAATACACCTAACTGGATCCATTTCTCTAGACAACTTCTCTCTATTCTTTGCCAATTTGTAAATAGCCATTTCACCCTCTTTTGTTCCTTACTAATTTTTAGTACCCATTATTTAATGCATTTTGTTTGGCTTTGGCTATTATATTTTTAGGTTCATATTTAAATTATTTATTTATTTATTTTATTTTTCTCTAAATCCTCTCGTGTCTTGCTTTTTTGCCATTCTTTAAAACTCTTTCTTTTATTTTTTATTGCTTCTTGTGTTTCATCATTTCACTACTGTACTTTTTTTATAATAATTTCTTTCCCTTGATTTATTCTAAAGTTTCTTTTGCCACACTCCTAATACAACCCGCCATTTTGGACAAGTTATTTGCAATATTTTCCTTCCAAACAGTTTTTTTTTTTTTTTTTTTTTTTTAATTATAAATAATAATCGATTAAAAAGCGTTCAAAAGGGGAACGCGTCTCGAAGCAAGAGTGGAACCGGGTTCTAAGGACCCAACGAATCCAAGAAATTAACTAAGTCATAGGGAGAGGAACAAGACCTCCTCCTCACGTAACTAAAAATAAAGCTAATAATATGAAGTTTCAGTGTCGCCATGGATGACTCATTCCCTTTGAACATTTTGGTATTCCTCTCCTTCCAAATGCACCACCAAATGCAATGCGGGATTGTCCTCCAGAAATCGCGAACACTGCTTCTCACACGACATCCCCTCCATGCACAAATCAATCCCTTGGAAGATCCAGGCATTACCCAGAACATACCGAATAACCCAAAAATGAGGTTCCAACAGTCGTACGCCATTGGACAATGCAGGAGGATATGATCCACTGACTCACCATCACTTTTGCAAAGGCAACACCAATTAACAATACAATTGCCTCTCTTCCTCAAATTGTCAATCGTCAAAATCTTAGCCCATACAGCTGTCCAAACAAAAAATGACACTCTAGGAGGAGCAGCAGAACGCCATATGGTCTTCCATGGAAAATCAATGCCTATGAAATTGGTTAGGCCTCGAAACAGGGATCGTACTTCAAAACGACCATAGGATAAGGGAATCCACCTAATATCATCACTACTGCTGCCAACTACCTCCTGTCTATACAACGTGTCCAATAGAACACAAACCTCATCCACCTCCCAATCCTGA